CAATCACATAGATGATAGCGGACGTATTCGGGAAGTAACATCGCCAATAGGGACTAGAGAGACTTCAGACATAGAGGCCGGCGGAATGGGAACACACGCACCGAATACTTGACTGACCGCCAAGATCCCACACTTGGAACTTGATATTTTTATACTGTCATAGACATGAGCGAGTTGATGAAGCGTCATTATGGCTGACATCATACCTCTACGGTCTCAACGTTGAACCCAATAGCTGAAGACGCGATCGAATGAGTGGGAAAGCTTGAAGCATGCGTATGACACGTACTCGGAATCGTTGAGACGACCTCTCCGATCTGTTATTTGTGAGAAATCCGTTAATCCTACAGCGTACATCTCATACACACCTGCAGCCTGTACAGAATAGTTGTCTAACGTGGTATTAGGTCTCTGACTAAATGTTATGAAACGCGCAAGACTTACCTTGCCCGCGGAATCAAGACCGAGCATCAGTATCCGGACATCTTGATCTTTGCTCCAGCGCAAGAGTGACGAAAGCGAAGTGAACAACGATGAGAACGATAGACCCATGAGGAAAATATAAGAGAGTTGCAGAACGCAGGTGGAAGAAGCGGTCAGAGTTGTGAGTAAGTTACGGCCGTGGACCGCTGAGAAGCCGGGCGCTGGTTTCTAGACTCGGGTATTTCGACTCCTCGGTCCGCTACTGTTCGCTGTGCCTGAATTTCGTTCTTTGCTCCCTCCTTAGTGCACGCTTCACCCTGGACCTACAGCCTATGCTATACAAGAGAACACAGTCTAACAACACAACGTGATGACTGTCGGAGAGATTGACACGTCTAATGACGCGCTCATACGCAAAGAAAAACGAAAATCACGGAAACATTCTGAAACGGCGAAGGAGCACATTAACCCAGATGCTGAAGCTAAACCACAAGGCAGCTCCGATAAGAATATAAAGACAAAGCATCGGCGCAAGGAAGCAGCGGTCGTGACCGTGGCTACCGAGGCGATGGAGGAACAAGCGACATCGGAGGTCAGCGAGCGCAAGAAGAAGCACCGTCGCCATAAAGACTCGGAGGACTCGATACCGGACGGCACACACGCCAAAGCATCAGAGCCGATGTCGGAGGATACCCAAGACGCTGAGCTGATTGACGAGAGCAAGAACAAGCGGAAAGACAAGCGCAAGAACGCAGACGCTCTCGGTGAGGATTCGAACGAAGCCGGAAGGACGCATGGGATTTCAAAGGAAACGAGGAAGCATAAGCGGAGGGAGAAGAATGAGAATGGAGACGAGGATGTGACCGAGGCTGGCGCAGAGGATGAGAAGAAGAAGAGAAAGCGAAAAAAGGACAGGGTCTCAGACGAAACAGCTGAGGCTGAATCTCCCAAGGATACTGGACATGAAACTGGTCATGGGAAGAAGAAACGCAAACACTTGAGGTCTGGGTTCCCTAATCCCGAGGGGGACGATGAACTATCCGACCAATCCAAGAAAGGTACGTCGTGTCTTCCTACATAGGCCGTAATCTAACTCATGACTACCTGTAGCTCTTGTGTATGCCTATGTTTACGCGGAGAACCAGTCTAACTGGAAGTTCAACAAGGCTCGGCAGAACTGGCTTGTTCGCAACGTATGGTCTGATATCACGGTAGGTTATGCCGCTCGTGGCACCCGATTAATATGTTCTCATCATATCGCGTCATATCACACAGATACCAGAGAAATATTTCCCGCTCGTAAAAAATTATCTGTCCGCTATCCAAGGCGGCGCAAAAGAAGTAGATCCTTCCCGTTTGGAATCGCGCTGCCTGCTGACCGTAAATTGTAGACGTTTGTCAAGGCCTGTCAAACCTTCGTGCAATCCGCCGAGACCCAGAATGAATCACAAGCTGGTGACAACAAGACTACACAAGCTACTGATGAGGATGGAGCAACACCTACTACTGCGATGCCTTCAGCCGCCGATTGCAAAAGGCACAGGGCGGAAGAACTTCTTCACGTTTTCACTACGTCTGTGGCTTTATAGTTGCCCCCCTGAACCTGAGCTCCTAGATTGCCACCCGCTATGCCGTAAAAATAGAATGCTTGGTTCCAAGTTATGCTCTGGACAACACGAGGCTCTATCGTCGACCTGACTAACGAGTAGTCAAGGAATACTGTATTGAGTGGCAGGACTATCCGGCTCTACGACTTTGGACGCCCGTTTGCCTGTAAGAGCGGTCTGATCGTTTCCTTCAGGAGCAGAAGCGTCGGCTGGGTCAATCACGGGGATCGGTGGCGGACGATGTATTCATTGATGGCCTTGGTCGTCTCCGTTGACAGTGAGTTCATCATAACAAATGTACGAGTCTGGAAGCTGATTTAGCGACATTAGTATAGGGCAGGTGGTTTTCCGCTAGTGTATGTAACTACGGAAATTATCGGTAATACATCTGCTGCCGCCTTAGATTGGCTCCCAGCACTTTATAACCGTGCATATAGGAAGAGGACCTCTTCCCGTTCTATCTGACCTTGCCTGGCCCCAACGCTGCTATATGAACACAACCATGATTGTTGCCATCTCTTTGGCGATTATTATCGGGGTCCTCTGGCGTGTTATACGCCGGCTTTCAGATATATCACCCTTAGACAATATCCCTGGGCTTCGGGCTTCCTCGTGGTGGACAGGTATGATATACTCATTCGCTAGCTCCGCCATTGATTGATGATAATTACTTGGCGCTCCAGGCAACTTCGGACTTCTATTCGATAGCGACCGCGGGCTACAGTACCACCAAGACATTAGCAACAAGCACGGCCCTGTTTTCCGTGTTCATGGACCGTTCGGTGTAAGCCACAGTATGAACCATCGAATCCCTACATTACTCTTAACTACGTTTACAGTCCCGACTGTTGTATGTTTTTGACCCGAAAGCGCTACAATGTATTCTCGTAGACAAGCCAGCCAATTTTGACCATTCCGAATGGACACTATCGTTAGTCGACCGGTTTGTACAGTCAATATCTGAAATTCTCACTACTGCCATAGGCGGAATAGGCTCGTTTTCGGCCAGTCGCTTTTCACAGTCTCCGGTAGGTGAACGATAATCGCGCCTCTACTATAACTCATTGGCGACACCTCTGTCGGTACCTTTCAGGCGAACAACATCGTCGTCATCGCCGCCACCTAAATCCAGCGTTCTCGGCAAAGAACCTGAAGCTTCTGGTACCTACAATCTATACCATTGCCCATCAGGTACGTTTTACCGTCGCAGCAGCAAATCGGTCTCATAGATGTACGACTTCATCAGCTGCGCGATGCGATTCGCGAGGAATTAAGAGGTCAATCTGGCGAGGTTGACGTATTAGAGTGGACAGCTCGTGCGGCACTAGAAGCTATCACATACGCCGGCTGCGGATATTCGCTGGGCTCGCTAAAATTTCCGGACCAAGAGCTCCCGGTCGCTGATGCGTTGAAGGATCTTGTGTAAGTTTACCACATCATATCTAATATCGAAACTTCCTACAATGACATACGACCAACAGACCGGCACTGATGGATCTAAACCCATTCCTCCCAATCATAACTTATGTGGCTTCTATGAGAAAATCGTGGCGTCGTTGCCTTGCTACAATACTGCCTTTTTCAAGAGTCCAGCGGCTTAAACGAGTGGCGGACGTTCTCGAAGCAAATTCCAGAGATATATTAGCGGGCAAATATGCTCAAGCCGCTGCCCGTGGCGATTTTACACATACAGACATACTTTCTAGTCTGAGTAAGCTTTCTTTCGCGGTCCAGGTGCCAATACAGTACTCATCCGCGTATGCAAGTGCAAAACAACATGAACACAGATAGCGGTCTTACAGAGGAAGAAATAGTTGCAGACTTGACGTTAGTATCGATGCACATATAAGGAAATATAATGGCTGATAACCCATTGTAGGAGCATGCTGTTCGGCGGGACTGATACGACGTCGAATTCATTGGCCCTGATTCTGCAGCTACTAGCAGAACATCCACACGCCCAAGACACCTTAAGGCACGAAGTTCTGTCTGCGTCTACCAATGGAGAAATACCGTATGAACAGCTGGTGGATTTACCCTACCTTGACGCAGTATGCCGCGAAAGTCTAAGACTGTAAGGTGTCAATCGATCTGCGCTGTATGCCACGCTGACCAGACTTCTTCAGGCACGCTCTCGCGCCGATAACGCTCAGAGAGTGAGTGGCGATCTCTACTGTGCAGTTTCTGTTACCTCATTCACACTCAGGGCAACTGAAGATACGCAAGTTCCATTCTCTCGGCCAGTTGTCGGTATAGACGGAACCACCATGAATTCTGTATGGATACCCAAAGGAACTACGATTCTCATCAGCGTCGTATCATGTCATCGCAACAAGGAGCTCTGGGGCGAAGATGCCCTGGAGTGGAAGCCCGAGCGGTGGCTATCACCTCTGCCAAACAGCGTCACGCAGGCCCAAATTCCTGGAGTGTACTCTAACTTGTGAGTCTGTTTCGTATATTACATGGCTAAGAGAGGCTCATTGTCTTGTCAGACTCACGTTCTTGGCGGGTAAACGAGCATGCATGTGAGAAGAACACGTTCAGAGCTGAAAGACTACGACTGATTTCGTTTACTCTCAGCGGCTTTGCTTTCTCTCAGATTGAAATAAGTACGCATACCACATCTGCTCAGACGATTCAAGCTCAACCTTTCCCGCAGAAATTTTACTCTCCGTACTGATCTCGTCGTTCAAATTCTCGCTCACGGATCACAAGATCGCCTGGAAATTCGCCGCAGTCAATTTCCCAAAGGTCGAAGGACGTGATTCCCGTGCCTGCTTGCCACTGAATGTTGTTGCGCTCGATAGTTAGTTCTAATTGCTATGGAACATGCATCAAATATTACGACATGTACCTTTTTCTTACTCTCTATAAGCTGATTAACTGTATACAATGCTTTACAGTTCATTTACGTGTTTCAAGTAAACGTAACTCGATACAAAAAAAGGTACGGGCATGGTGAAAAAGATCTGACGAAAGTGGGATTCGAACCCACGCCCGGGATACGGACTAGATTTGGACAAGCCTGATTCTAGCGCCTTAGACCGCTCGGCCATTTCGCCTTGCATTGATGAGGAGAAGCGTCGTTCACTACCTCATTAGGAGGGCGAGAGCAGCAACAGTACTCAGTCTCGTCCCTCAGCCTTGCATGCGGTGAACGACGGTCGTTTTATACTGAACACCGTAAGAATTGGCGCAGGCCAAAGATGCATTCCGTCAGTATAGTTTACAATCGGCGTATGGTGTATCATTGACCAAGCAAGATAGCTCCGCATTATTCTAAACGCGCTATCATGGTATCTAGAGTCCAGTACGGAAAGCATCATCTAACGTACAACATATCCAGCCTTCTGTTTCCTCGGTTTCTCCTCAGGCTTGATATTAATATTACGATCTTGGATATACGGTGTGGAAATGAGGATCCAATTTATGTTTTTCATAACCTGGTCGAGCCAAGGATTTCAGCGCGACCCTCTTATCAGTCTCGATGTCCTCAATCAAAGCCTCTGTGAACGATGGCATTAGTAGTAGGACCTGATACAACAAATCTTACCATACCTCTGGACACATAATCAAGCTCGGGACGGATATAGCCGAGGACTATTGCCCTCAGCTCATGTCCGTAGAAGTCATGCGCATATGGATGCATAACGTGGATTTCCTGTAAAGACGGCAGCTATTAGCATGACAATGTCAACTATATGACCGAGTTTGACTCACCGCTGTAAGCTGCTTATTCTTGTAGAACGGGTTCCATCCCAGGCTCATAACCATCGGATAGACCTTGCCTTCCTCCTCAGAGAGCTCTACTTGGTCACCTTTCTCTCGGATAACTTGTGCATAACCAAAATATACGCCTGTCTGGGTTACAGAGCTCATCGGCGCTATGGATTCGTCCGGGAGGTTTGCTATCGCCGACATTATGTCAATTACTACATAGTGCTGAAAGGAGGAATTGCGCACCTGTTGGACATCCCAAATCCTTGCCACCACGGCCGAACCCTCGCTGAACTTCCCCCGCAAGCAGGATAGGGAAAGGATGCTCTGGTGACGCGGGGCCGACGATATCAGGGCGGCCTTCTCTGCCTGTAGCTACTGGAGCAGGCGGACGTTCGTGCAGCGCAGCTTCGGCAGCGGTCTCTACGGCGGACTCTATGACGGTCATTGTAAGATGCTGTAAAATTAACGAAAAATAGAGCAGATAAAGCGGGGCGTTGAATGAGATGGACGTCGGGACCGAGAAAGATTGTGCGACCGGGGATGCGATACGAGGGAGTCAATGCATGAGACCGCAGGCGCCACAGCATGAGAATATTCTGACAAGACCCGCGCTCGCGCTCGTCATGCAGCTTGACAGCGGCCGCCATGTCGTACTATCAGACACAGCAGTATAACTCGTACCCGCCCCAAACCCAGCAGGTTCCACCACAGGCACAGCAACAACCACCGTATGGCGCTGCAGCGTACGCAAATGTTCAATCGCCTTATACCCCATACCAAGCTTCCCCTAGCACACCCTCCCCCGCATACCCAGTGTACACCTCACCTCCTGTCAGACTAAATCCAGATGTAACACCCCCTGGAGAAGATACAGGGCGTGTCATAGCTCCCGAGTTTCCGGATGTGAATCCACAAGTGGCCTGCCATGCCATGCATCGACTCATCTCATCGGAGCTGCAACATGCCGGGTTCGATAACGCGCAAGCCGGTACGCTGGAGTTACTGGAACTTGAAGCTATCGGTTGTGCGTTGCGACCCTGCTTCTTGTCCCGCCATGGCTGATTCTTGCAGTGATAGAAACTTTGTTCCGTATGGCACACGACTACGCAAATCATTCTGGTCGCGCACGGCCTATAGCCACAGATCTCATGGTGGTTTGCAAAGACATTGGCTTTGACATAAGAGAGTTACATGAAGTTGAAGTTATGTCAAAGAAGCGGCGGCGGGGTGAGTCTATAACATACCTCGTCGAGCATGCTCTGTTTGCTAAGCTACGACACGATTCGCAGAAGGACTGGAACCAGAGATGATCACTCTTCTATCGCCCCCTTCACGCTCACCGTCACCAGAGCTCCTCGGATCGGACGATGAGGACCCTGCACATCCCGTTATTCCCGTTACCCTACGCTCACATCCACATTATCTTCCACCATTACCTCCCAAGCATACCTACCTCAGGACACCGGTAAGTTATCTATTCCCGCATATCTCCTCGTCTCCATATTCAGCATAACCTCCGCAGGCAGCACAGCCGAGACGATCTACTCTTCCGTCCCTTGAAAAGAAGCTCAAGAACGCAAGTCTTGTGCAAAGCAGCTTGGAAAATCTCCTCGATCAAACGGAGGTCGACGATCCAGATCCTATAGTGAAGATGGCTTTTGGTAACGTCGTTAATTGGGAGTCTGGTCAATACGCGCGTAAAAGATGGAAAGTATTCAAGAAATAATGTGTGGTTCTTTGGACTGGTGAGGGCTTGCCTATGTATTATACCCTATATTGTAACGCGATAGCCATGCATATCCTACAGTCACCATTCGTAGAGAATGACACCGCCCCACACGCGGTGGTTGCATATTTAATTACTGACCTGCCTTTCTCGAAGAACGCAATGTTCGTGTCGTGGCGGGTACAGCTTTACCACGTCCCCTTCCTCTTCTATTGCCGGTCGACCTCGAAACATGACTTGCCTGAACTGCTGGACCTTCTGGCTCGACAATCTGTGACTGGCCGACGTGCACCTGCGGGTCTTCATTGCTCGCTTGCGCTTCATGTGCATGATTTGCACTACCCTCAGCCATATCGACATCAACGGCAGCTTCAGGATCAGGCACGTCTCCGTCCTCGTCCTCTCCTGACTGATTTCGCCCCCGATTCCGCGTCGAGCGACGGGTCGGCTCCGCCACAGTACGTGCAGAACGGCGATGGTTGTTACCTTTATTCCTGCGCGAAGCTTCAGCCGAGGTCGAGACTGTCTGGGGCCCCGCGGCTGGCTCCGCCAGGTCGGTGATCGCAGAAATCGACGGCGTCGCTGTTGATTTCTCAATAACATGATTTGTCTTCCGACTCTTTTTCGCTGGCGGTCCAGTCTCTTCCGGGTTTTCTGCAGGCCGCTTGAGAGGTTTTCGGGGTCGTCCGCGGCGCTTCGGTTCTGGCTGTACACCATCGGCCTCCGTAATCTGCTCGGTATGAGAGGTAGACTCGGCTACAGGTTGCTCAGCCTCAATAGTGGCATCTGTAGCACTAGTCGGTGCTTGCGGATCTGCGTTCGTTGAAATCATCTCAGTGGAAGCAGCGCGTCGTCTAGGTCGAGGCTTGGGTCTAGGTTTACGCTTGGGAGTAGCAGCCACATCAGGCTCTTGTTCAGTAGACAATGCTGTACCAGGATTTTCGAGCTCGTGGAGTATAGATTCAGCTGCCTGGGAGACGATAGGAAGTCCGACGTCTTTCTCTTGTTGCGTCGACGGCCCTGCAACGGGTTGTGGGTTATGTGACGGAGCCGTTGTACGACTTGGGTCCGAGGCTGGGGCTGGAGAAGCTGGAACAGACGTTGACGCCAACTTAGACGCAGCTTTAGCCTGCTGTCTCTTCAGCGCGGAATAGCGATGTCGACACTAAATTATGATGTAGGACTCAGTAGACAGTCAACAAAACCAGCTTTTAGCTCACCATGTTGTCTGTTCGCCCTGTACCCAGGAGATTGCTGATTTCTTTCCACCGGCCCTCGCCAACAGTGGCGTATGCTGCCAGCAAAAGTTTGTCTTCATCTTCACTCCATCTACCCCGGCCGCAACTCGGATTCAAAACTTCTTGCCAGCGGTCACGACATTGCTCGCTGCTTCGTGTCGGTACAAACGTACAGACTTCGACCCAGGACCGGCCAAAGACTTCGACGGCCCGACGCAGCTGCGCATCTTCTGCCTCAGTCCACAGACCCCGCCTATTACTAGGATCGAGGCTTCGGGTATAGCGGGCTTGACACTGTGATGCTGTAGCATCTTCCGAGACATATCGAGCAACTTCGAAAGAAGGTCAATGTCAATCAGTAGCGCGAGTCCGTGATCCACACTCACCGAGCAACCAGCTGCCGGTCCCGTAACGCTGGACGGCTTCTAGTAGACGTTTATCACTCGCCGGTGACCATGTATGCGTCCGTCTGAGGATCGCATGACGCATACAATCAACTGGTGTTCGGTGAGTCTATCCAATGCATAGAATCAGCGAATCACTGCAAGAAGTCCAGACGACACTTACGCCCAGTCTTGTAGCAACATGAACCCAGTCAACCTGGCCTTGCGCCGCATCCCCGACAAGCTCTTTGACTCGAGCGATCTCGTCCTGGGACCAGGGAGAATGATTCAACTCTGGATGACGGTCGCCTAACCAGCGTATCTCACATTCTTGCGCTGTACGCCTCACGTTGGACGAGCCCGCGGCCGACACCTACGCAAATACGCAAATATCAAAATGTCAAAATCGAGCTGTCAATGCACGAGTGTAGACCGACTTTGGAAGCGACACGTTCCCAGTCTATTCCGACTTTGTTCGTACTCAAAAAGGGAATGGGTTCTGTTTCAGGGTCGAAGAAAACTGGTTGACCTCTGCAGGACGTAAGACTCGGGTCTGCGGTGAATCGGGCATGAGGCTCGCGTACCGTCGTTGCGCATCCAGCGCATAGATCCGGTAGTTCTCAGCGCGGACTGCTTCTGCGAGGGTCTCTAATTCCGGGGCCTTCACTGAAAGATGTTAGTTGACTAGATCGGATCCGGGGCCTAGGACGCACTTTGGTGGACTACAGTAGCCTGGAAATATTGTCTTCGCTTTTCCGCATCTTCTGCAAATGGATGGTCCTGAGTGGAACCATAACGTTTCAATTTGACGAACACGCCAAACGGATCTGCACGCACCTCCAAAGATCGATCGTACGGTATGAGTCCTGTAGCCTTGACCGCGTTTGGAACGACGATAGTCCCACCAGCATCGATGTCGAGGTCCTCTTCGGGGAGTTCTGAAGCAGCCTTACGATTCCATGTTTGCTTTGAGCACAAATGACCGAGTAACAAGG